AACGGGTGGACAAAAAGAAGCCTGTCGATTGAGGTGGCCAGAGTCAAGCACGGACTCGGGGCTAACCTCAGGAGACGAATGACTTACAAAAATGACTGACTGACGACGACTGACTGACTCCAGTCGACGAGGAAAGAGCGAAGGCTCACCAACCTTTAGGAGGGGCTTAGGTCAAAAGCCCCCAGCGCAGGACCCCCAAGAAAAGAGGCCGTCCATAAAGTCGAGAACCGACAGTTGGAAGAAACGTCCACCACGCGCTTCCGCGACGCGTGCGCGATCGAGTCAAATTTCGGGAAAAAGGGGCAAAATTGGGGAAGGGGGGATAGCTCGTTCGGCAGCACACACTCGGGGAATGCGCAAGCGGCCTGAACCACGCAGCGCCACTCCAGGCCTTTGGGCGGGAGTGGGGGGAGGAGCAGATTGCTCTTCCCCCCACTCCTCAAGGGTTTGAGGTTGCCTGGAACAGGGGTGGTGGAGGGACCGCACAGGGTAGGAGGGTGTGTGTGTGTGTGTGTGTGTGTCAGTCGTTCCGTTAGAGCAGCCAACCACCGAGGATAGCAGACGTGACCAGTGAGACCGCAAGCGACAAGGCGACACCGAAGCGACAAAGCGACCGATCAGCGACGACGCGACAGCGACGCGATCGCGACGCGACGACGCGACCAACGCGCGGAAACGCGAGAAAAACGCGGAAACGCGAGTGAGACACCCACTCGATAAGGCAAAGCCTAAATCGGGTGGACGAAGAAACATTACACAATTCCCATCTCGTTGGGAATTGTGTAAAAGCGCGACTTAGCGAAAACAGACGCACCAAAGTGGGCCGACAAACCCACAGTGAAGTGTAGTGAAGTGCAAAGACACTAGTGAGTGAGTGGTACACAATTCTCAGAGTGCGGCGACAAATGAGAATTGTGTGAAAGTGGGCCGACGAAGCCACAGCCGGAGTGCAGTGAGCCGAGAAGGCACCAGTGCGCGAGTGGTACACGTTTCTCAGAGTGCGGCGACTGAGAATCGTGCAGAAGCGAGCCGAGAAGGCACCAGTGCGAGAGTGATACACAATTTCCAGAGTGCGGTCACAACTGGAAATTGTGTAAAAGTGCAGTGAAGTGAATCGAACTCGGAAGAGTCGATGGTGGTGATCGAGCGCGACACCATAGATAAGGTGACCAAGATGCTGGACGACGAAAACACGTATTCCTCGTCCAGCGAAGAGGAGGAAGAGGTCCAGGAAGAGGAACCTCGACCAAACAGGATGGAAGAGGAAAACCGCGAGCTCAAGAGGCAGATAGCGGAACTATCCTGCCAGCTAGCGGACCTGACGCGTCAGCTACTGGAGGAGAGAAGGATAAGCGCCGAAGAGCGCGAGAAGACGGCCAAGCTCATCGAGCTTATGGCCGCTAGACAAGGGATTGAGATAGACGATCCCAAAAAGAAGACTAAGAGGAAGGCCGATAAGACCGAGGAGGTTGACGAGAAACCAGCCTCCAAGAAAGCGGCAGTGGACCCCTTCCCCCCGCTCCCAAAGAAGAAGACAGTGGAGGAGAAGACCACCCCACCCCCCCCGTCAACCACCGAAGACAGGATGGACACCGAGCAGGCCCAGCCAGCTCCCAAGCCTAAAACAAGAAGGCCGCCACCCCTATATATTCATAGGGAAGACCAGTGGCAAACAATGAAGAGGGGAAAGAAGATCCCAGCCGACAAGCCGGCAAAACTCACCAGGACCGGCATAAAGGTCCAACTGACGACCGAAGAAGAATTCAGAAGCGTAAGGAAGACGCTCGAAGAGAACAAGGTGGAACACCACACATACTCCCTGCCAGACGAAAAATCCCTGTCAGTTATCATCAGGGGCATGCCACTGATGACGGGGGAGGACGAAGTTAAAGAGGACCTGGAATCTAAAGGATTCCACCCAAGAAGAGTCAACAGACTCACCAGCAGGCGAACCAGGAAGAAGATCCCGCTGGTCAAGGTGGATCTTCCAAAGGAAGAAAAGAGGATTTACGATCTGACAGAATGCTGTCAGATGATCGTAACAATCGAAGCACAGAAGAAGAGAGAAGGACCGGGCCAGTGCTACAGGTGCCAGCAGTTCGGGCACAGCCAGCAGAACTGCTCCGGGGCACCGAAGTGCGTGAGATGTGCAGGGGCACATCGCGCATCGGAGTGCAAAGTGCCACAAGAAAGAGCGGCAACCTGCGCCAACTGTGGTGGGAGCCACCCAGCGAACTACGGGGGATGCCCAAGACGCCCGAGCTCAAAACCAAAGAGCAAACCCGCCGCGGAGGAGAAGAAGAAGATCACGAAGCCAGCCCCAGTAAGACCAGGACAGAGCTACGCAAGGGCTGCAAGAAGCAACGAGACGGCCCCCCGAAGGCAGGAAAGACCCTCCACAAACCGGGAAGAAGAAGACGGGGATGAACTGAAGAGGTTCATGGAAACCCACATGGCCCAAATGAAGAGGCTCATCATGAATACCCCCGAAGCCAAGGAGGCATTCATGACAAGCAAGAACAGAAGAAACGCCAACTAAATGGGCAGCCTGCCAACATCTAGGACCCTACGGATATTGAGTTGGAACGTACATAGTGCTTCCAACAAGAAGTACGAGATAGGAGAACTGCTAACTCGAGGGGACTACGATGTGATGGCGTTACAAGAGACAATGCTCTCAAGCAGAGTTCCAAACTGGACCTTCCCAGGGTACACGACGTACAGGAAGGACCGAGACCAGAGAGGCGGAGGCGTGCTGATCTCCGTAAGGAGCAGCATCAGCCACGACCTGCTAGGAATCCCCGATCTGAGGACTACAGAAGCAGTAGGAATAGCCGTGTACACGGAGGACTACGGCACGCTGAACATCATCTCGGTATATATACCACCAACGGTGACTCTGCATATGGACGACATCACGCAAATCAGCGGAATGGGCGAGAGCATTGTCATCATAGGAGATCTGAACGCCAAATCTAGGATCTGGGGCTCGCGCACGAACAACAGACATGGCGAAATCCTTGCGAGGCTGATGGATGAACCGGAGTACTCCATACTAGGACCTGACGAACCCACGCTGTACCCAGACAACGGTACAAGGCCTGATGTAATAGACATTGCTATCTTGAAAAAGGTAGACGTGTCTTGCAACATTGGTGTTCTACAAGAAGGAAGCTCTGACCACAACCCCATATTCCTGGAAATAGGAGAGGGAGCACCAAACGTGGAGAAGAGGATAGCCAGAAGAGTGAACTGGGACCGGTTCCGGCGAACCTTTCACTACTCACTCGGCCCACTACCTCAGATAGAGACTCCTGAAGGCATAGAGGAAGCAGTTCAGGGCCTAGAACGGAAGATCCAGGACGCGCTAGATGCTACTACCACGGTAGAAGACATCACGCTGCCCAACAGGTTCAGAGACCTACCCCCAGAGGTGAACCAGAAGATCACCGATAGAAACAGGGCAAGAAGACTAGCTCAACGAACAGGAGACCCAGAACACAAACGAGAGCTAAAAAGGAAGACCGAAGAGATGAGAAAAGCCCTGATGGAGCACCATCAACGCAGCTGGCAAAGAAAATTAGAGGAACTAACACCAGGTGAGCCAGGAATGTGGAAGCTAGCGAAGATCCTGAGAAATCGCAGACAACAAGTTCCCCCGCTGCAAGGAGCCTACGGGACCGCGTACACGAACGACGAGAAGGTCGAAGCATTCGCAGATAACTTACAACGGCAGTGTACGACATACATGCACCCAGATGAGGACGAAGACTTCGTAGAAGAAGTGGAAAGAAGATCCAGAAGAGCTACGAGAGGAGGAGAAATGGTGCAGCAAGCCACCTCCCCGACGGAAATCAGGGACATCATCAAGACTCTAAAGACCAGAAAAGCAGCGGGCTGCGACCGAATAGGGAACAGAATCCTGAAGAGGCTCCCGAGAAAGGGCATGGTGGCCATAACCAACATCGTGAACGCTATGCTGAGGCACCGATACTTCCCGGACAGATGGAAGATCGCGGAAGTAATAAACATCCCGAAGCCTGGGAAAGACCCAAAATTCCCACAAAACTACCGGCCAATCAGCTTACTAACTTCCTTGAGTAAAGTTGCAGAAAGGGCAATCGAGCGAAGACTTAGACAACAAACCGAGGACCTTAGAGTACTGCCAGACGAACAGTTCGGATTCCGGAGCGGCCATTCATCAGAGCACCAGCTGCTTCGGCTCGTGGAGTGTGGGACGCGTGCGTTCCAGGCTCGGCGAGTCGCGGGGGCGGTGTTCATGGATGTCGCGAAGGCATTTGACACCGTCTGGCACGACGGACTCATCTATAAGATGCAAGACAAGGGATACTCGACAGGGATGATTCAGCTGGTGAAGTCATATCTGAAGAACCGAAGATTCCGGGTTAGACTGGGAAACACCACCTCGACGACCAGAACTGCAGAGGCTGGGGTACCGCAGGGAGCGGTCCTATCCCCTCTACTATACGCCATCTACAGCTCCGACGTTCCGAAGACCCCAAATACGCAGCTGCTGATGTATGCGGACGACACTGCGTACGTAGCCGAGTCATTTCAGCCCCGCATGGCTACGACTTACCTACAAAGAGCGACAACCAGTCTACAGGAATGGTGCAAGAAATGGAGGATCCAGCTAAATCCAGATAAGACCGAGGCGATGCTCCTCAGGAAGAGCCGCAAGACCCCTGAAGGCAACCTCAAGATGACAACCACAGAAGTGCTGAGAGGCCTGGTGCGTGACGAAGAAAAAGAGGTACAGTGGACAGACACCAGCAAGTACCTCGGCGTCAAGATAGATAAGGGTCTCACCTGGAAACACCATATAGAAGCCCAAGTGCAGAAAGCCAAGATGGCAAGAGCCAAGCTAAGACCGATGCTTGGAAGAAGGAGCAAGCTCTCCCTGAACAACAAAATGCTGCTGATCAAGATGGTGCTCCTACCGATTATGACCTACGCGTCAGTTGCTTGGGGCTACGCAGCCAAGACGTGGAAGAAGAAGCTCCAAGCACAACACAACATAGCACTCCGAGAAGCGGTCAACGCACCGTGGTACGTGCCAAACCGAGTGCTATACGAAGACCTGAGACAAGTGCCAGTGCTCGAAGTGATGAAGACCAGAGCTCGGAAGTTCTTCAACAACGCCGAAGAACACGAGAACCAGCTCATCAAGGCCGCCTTGGACTACGATCCAAGGTTCATACATAGGCACAAAAGACCGAAGAGCCAGCTGCTAGAAGATATGGGACACAGCAGCTGATGAGTCCTAAAGAAGAGGGGTAGAACCTCGCGAGGAAGGTACTGCATGCAAGATAGGCAAAGTCCTGTGCAGTACCGGTGGTCAGACGGCGAAGATTTGCCATGCTGAATGCACCGATCTCATTTGAGGTGCGGGGCATTTAGATGGCACTAACAAGCGGGCCTTCTGACGACTTCGGCATTTGTCGGCGTGGTCAGGAGGCAACACTCAAGAAAGAAAATCAAAAAACCGAAGAACCCAAAAGCCGTCTTGGGAAACCTTAATGCGGACCTCAGGTCAAGGTCCCACCGATGGAACCCCAAATAGAGGACGACTCGTAAAACCGGAGAAAGGTACACGAGTATAAATGACCACTTCCGTTCTGCAGCCGTGCTTCCGCGTCGTGATTAGCTTACCACACCTTTCGGCGGGGCAAAATTCCGAGGGGGGGAAAAGCGCGAAAATTTAAAGGGCAAAATTGGGTGGGGGGTGGGGTTTGCGTCCGACAGGAACACAAGTTGCAGGAGCGTCCAGTCCACGTACCGCCACTGGGGCCGGAAAGAGTGAGGGTACCTGGACCGGGGAGGTGGTGGGTTCGCTTAGGAACTTTGTGTTCCTGTTCCAGTCGTTCCGTTAGTCGAGCGTTGGTGTCGATTATACTCAGCATCATCTCACAATAAAATGCCACCCAAAACTAGCGGTAAGGCTGCCAAAAAAGCGGGCAAGGCGCAGAAGAATATCTCAAAATCTGACAAGAAAAAGAAGCGCAGGAGGAAGGAAAGTTACGCAATTTACATCTACAAAGTACTGAAGCAGGTACATCCCGATACGGGTATATCCAGCAAAGCGATGAGCATCATGAACAGCTTCGTCAACGATATTTTCGAACGTATCGCTGCGGAAGCTTCCAGATTGGCACATTACAACAAACGTGCCACGATAACTAGCAGAGAAATTCAGACAGCCGTACGACTATTGCTACCGGGAGAATTGGCCAAGCACGCAGTCAGCGAAGGTACCAAAGCCGTCACCAAGTACACCAGTTCAAAATAATATAGACGTTGTATTCGCTTCGACGGTTATACGGTTCGAAAAATAAGAACAAAAAAAAAACGGTTCTTTTCAGAACCACTATGTTATGATAAAATGCAAAATGATAATTAGCTGTGGTCGTTATTTTAATCTTTTCATCTATCTCTCTCTCTCTCTCTCTCGCTCTCTCTCTCTCTCTCTCTCTCTCTATATATATATATATATATATATATATATATATATATATATATATATATATGTATAGAAGAAGTCCGTAATATCTGGAAGATGTCACCTGTATCACTGCACTGGGAAACAGTACCGTGATCGTAGGTGATCTAAACGCGAAGTCCACCATTTGGGGCTCAAGAAACAGAAACAGTCACGGCGCTGTTCTGGAAAGACTAATGGATGAACCTGGATATACCATGATAGGTCCGGACGAACCTACAATATACCCCAGCAACGGAGGTAGACCAGACGTCATAGATATGGCGATTCTGAAGGAAATCGACATGCGCACCACCATCGGCGCCATGCAAGAGGGAAGCTCAGACCACAACCCCATCTTTCTCTGTACGGGAGATGGGATAACACCTGTGGAACAAAGAACAGTGAAGAGAGTGAATTGGCAGCGGTTTAGAACCAGACTGCACTATTCACAAGGACCACTACTACAGATCGAAAGCCCCGAAAGCATAGAAGAAGCGGTCACGGACCTAGAAAGGAAGATTAAGGCTGCGTTAGAAGCCGCAACCACCGTGGAAGACATAACGCAACCAAACAGGTTCAGGGACCTACCTGACGAGGTAAATCGCAAGATCACCGAAAGAAACAGAGCCCGAAGAGTAGCCCAGGAGACCAGAAGCCCCACTGACATCATGGTGGCAAACAGACTTATGAGACAGGCACGAGACGCCTTGAAGCAGCACCATCAGAGCACCTGGGATAAGAAACTCGACGAACTATCTCCAGCTGACCCAGGAATGTGGAACTTGGCTAAAATCCTCAGAAATAGAAGACAGCCCATCCCCCCAATACACAGCGAACAGGGGATGGTGTACACAACCGAAGAGAAGGCGGAAGCTTTTGCTGACAACCTTCAGAGACAGTGTACTCTCAATACTCACCCCGATGAAGACGAAGACTTCATCGACGAGGTGATGAGAAGATCGAGGAGAGCTGTCAGAGGAGGAAGAGCCATCGAAGACATGCCCTCTCCAGGCGAGGTAAGGGAAATCATCGAAAGACTCAAGGTGAAGAAGGCACCGGGTGTAGACGATATTGGGAACAGAGTCCTGAAGAGACTCCCGAGGAAAGCGATAATGGCAATTACCAACATCGTCAACGCCATACTGAGACACCGGTACTTTCCAGATCACTGGAAAGTAGCCGAGGTGATCAACATTCCTAAACCTGGGAAAGACCCAAGGTTCCCCCAAAACTACAGACCCATAAGCCTGTTGACGGCACTGAGCAAGATTGCGGAAAGGGTAATCGAACGAAGACTGAAGAACGAAACCGAAGAACTCCGAGTAGTTCCAGACGAACAGTTCGGATTCCGATGCGGGCATTCAGCAGAGCACCAGGTCCTAAGGCTGGTCGAGATGGCAACGAAATCGTTCCAGACTCGGCGGGCCGTGGGAGCTGTGTTCATGGATGCCGCAAAGGCGTTCGACACTGTTTGGCATGACGGACTGATCTACAAGATGGTAGACCACGGATACTCAAAGGGGATGATCCAACTGGTGAAGTCCTACTTGAAGCACCGAAATTTCCGAATTAGGATCGGTAAAACAACCTCGACGACGAGGACTGTGGAGGCAGGAGTACCGCAGGGAGCGGTTCTACCACCCCTGCTGTATCCAATCTACAGCTCAGACATCCCGAAGACTCCTCAAACGCAACTGTATGTGTATGCGGACGATACAGCATATGCGGCAGAAAGTACGAGACCCCGCATGGTTACGGAATATCTGCAACGAGCGACCACCAACCTAGAGGAATGGTGCATCAAGTGGAAGATCCGCCTCAACCCCGAGAAGACCGAAGCGGTACTGTTCCGAAGAAATCGAAGATTACCTCAGACCAAAATAAAGATGACGACCACCAGAATGGAGAGAGGCTGGAGAAGAGATGAAGAGGTTGAGGTCGACTGGAAAGACTCCAGCACATACCTTGGAGTCAAGATGGACCAGAAACTCACTTGGAAGAACCATGTCGAAGACCGGGTGCAGAAAGTGAAGATGGCACGCTCCAAACTAAGACCCTTAACGGGCAGAAGAAGCAAAGTGTCACTAAAGAATAAGACCATCATGATTCAGATGGTGCTGCTACAAATCATGACTTACGCAGCAGTAGCTTGGGGCTACGTTTCCAAAACGATGAAGAAGAGGCTCCAAGCTCAACAAAACATGGCACTCCGTGAAGCGGTGGACGCACCGTGGTATGTACCTAACAGAGTGCTATATGACGAACTACGACAGGTACCGGTCGTAATCCAGATGAGAGAGAGGGCCAGAAAGTTCTTTGAAAAGAAATGTGCTGATTGAAGCCGCCTTGGATTACGACCCAAGAACAATAAGGCGTCATAAAAGACCGAAAAGCCAGCTGCAACAAGAAGATATTTGGCCCTAGCAGCTGATCAGGCCAAAGAAAAGGGGAGAAGACCGACAATAGTTGTACACCCAAGAGGGGAAAGAACAGCCCGTGTACAACGGGTGGACAAAAAGAAGCCTGTCGATTGAGGTGGCCAGAGTCAAGCACGGACTCGGGGCTAACCTCAGGAGACGAATGACTTACAAATATGACTGACTGACGACGACTGACTGACTCCAGTCGACGAGGAAAGAGCGAAGGCTCACCAACCTTTAGGAGGGGCTTAGGTCGAAAGCCCCCAGCGCAGGACCCCCAAGAAAAGAGGCCGGCCATAAAGTCGAGAACCGACAGTTGGAAGAAACGTCCACCACGCGCTTCCGCGACGCGTGCGCGATCGAGTCAAATTTCGGGAAAAAGGGGCAAAATTGGGGAAGGGGGGATAGCTCGTTCGGCAGCACACACTCGGGGAATGCGCAAGCGGCCTGAACCACGCAGCGCCACTCCAGGCCTTTGGGCGGGAGTGGGGGGAGGAGCTGATTGCTCTTCCCCCCACTCCTCAAGGGTTTGAGGTTGCCTGGAACAGGGGTGGTGGAGGGACCGCACAGGGTAGGAGGGTGTGTGTGTGTGTGTGTGAAGACCGTAGCAGAAGAAGAAGAAGAAGACGAAGACCGTTTTGTAAAATAACAAAATTAAGTAACACAATTTTTTTTATACATTTATAGCCCATAAGTAACAGCAGACCGAATATATTGCCAACGGAAAATCCTTTTTATTTTGGTATTCTGAGTTTAATTGATGTTAACTGCCCAAAATTGATTACTTATCGTTTATTCCTTTCCCCGCGGATCGGTGTATGGTAACTTGTTCTAACAGTTAATAGTATTAACGGAGTGTCATTGTTTTTATTGTTCAACAGCGAAATCAGTCAACATAAGGGTATCCACGATTTCCGAAGGTTAATACAGGGTGTCCGCAAAGTTGGGCTTTTCCTTTTCAGAAACAACTACCCTTGAAATAACAAAGGTAATGCGTAGTGAAACGAGGGCCGACCATGTAAAAAAATATATAAAGGAAAAAGTACTCACTCTCCAGTTGACCCCATTACGTGTGAACGTAGATTCGTCTGTCACCAATATGCACTTCAAAAAGTCCGGATTATTGTCATGTTGATGCAACAACCACTCACAAACCGCACTCTTGCTGGAAACTCGTCAGGTTGGACGTTTGCCACACTCTAGTTTGTGATACTCGCACTTCTCTAGCCACGTCTCTAGTGCTTGTTGAGGGATTCTCGTCTACGCGATTCAGTAGTTCTTCCTCAACTAGCACCATTCGTGGTTGTCTAGAACCTCCCCACTGTGCCCACCTCGATATTCCTCCAAATGGCCCGT